CCCCCGCCACTCCGCAGCATGTGGGATCTTCCCGGACCGGGGCACGAACCCGTGTACCCTGCATCGGCAGACGGACTCTCAACCACTGAGCCACCAGGGAAGCCCTAAACTGAGATTTTTATGTGAAACCTCTTGAGTTTTTCAAAGTTTGGAAGCAATCCAAGTTTTCAAAGAACACGGGGCAGACCAAATGCAAGCTGTCCTGGGGCCAGGTCCAGTCCTTCCCCCAGAGCCTGCAGTCTCTCTCGGGTCTCACACCTGGATCCCTTCTCCTGCAGTGTCAGCATCTTACCACAAGGTGGAGCTCCAGAGACACTCAGACCAACGTTCCTCTGTGCTCAGCCACCCTTTTTGCTCCAAGATGCGCCCAGACACACACACCGGGCAGCTTTTTGAAACCTGTTCTTCCTTCCCTGTACTCACCTTCACACCTGCAGGCACAGGCTCCATCGCCCAGGATTTACAACGCTCCTGTTCTGAGACCCAGGCCACCGTTCTGGAATCACTGCCAAGCCCCCAGTCCTGTTTGTCAGCTGCGCCCCCACTCCCAGTTCAGGCCCCCATACCACCGGCTGTGCAAATGCAGAGAGAGCCAGCCAGGCTGGGCCAGAGTCAGAAGGGATCACCTTGATCCTTCCTAAACGTGAATATAATCTTCCAGGCTCCTTGTCAGGGGTGGAGAGGAACAGCCATGGTGATGGAGGCTGCCTGGAACCCCAGCCAGACAGTGGGCTCCTGAGAACACTTTGGCAAAGAAGATCCTAGCGCCTCCCCTGGCCATCTGTGCCCACTTCTTCTGCCTCCCTTTTTCAGTGGTTCTCAATCTTAGCTTCGTATTAGAATCACCTGGGTAGGTTTAAAAAATCCTGGTGCTCAGGCCACACTCCAGACCAATAACATCCAACTCTCTGGAGGTCAAACCTGGGCATCGGTACTTTTTAAAGCTTCCTGCGTGATTCTAACACAAGTCAAGGCTGAGAACCACTGCAGCGGAAGTGCAGTTACCAGGGGTGATTGGGAACACCTACTTCCATTTAAGTACAGCCCCTCAGGACTTTAGAGCTGGAAGGAGTCTCTGAGATTGTCTGGATCAGTTCCTCTTAAATCAATGGAATCGTTTGTTAAAACAAGTCTTTATTAATAGAAAACATTTATATGACATTTACTATGTGCCAGACTCTATTCTGAATGCTTAACATATATTAACTCATGTCATCCTCACAACAACACTTTGAGGGAGGCGCTATTATGAGGATGCCCATTTTACAGATGAGGAAACTGAGGCACACTGTAGTAACTAGCCCAAGGTCATAAAGCTACTTAATGATGGGAGCCACAGTTCAGACCTGGGTGGTTGGGCTCCAGGGACCGCCAGTAACCTTTAGGCTGTTCTGCCTGTGGTGAAAGCCCGAGACAGATAAAAGAGCCTGGACCTGCCTGTCCAGCCCCACCTCAGGCAGAACACTGTTAGGGTGACTCAGTTTGAATCTGACCCCCAGCACCCTCCCCATGTGGATGAAGAAACTGTGGCCCTGACAGGGAAGGTGACACGGCTGAAGGTCCCTGAGGAGCATCAGGCAGAGCGGGGCTAGAAGCCTGGATCTCGGGGCTCAGGGGGCCCTGAGGACAGTGAAGAAGAGGTGACTTACTTCTCATTGTCGTAGTACAGCTTCCCAATGGCCCAGGCCACGATGATGGGGAAAGGCACACCTGGGGGAGAGATCAGCTGTCACAGGGCCTGTCGGTGGAGTCTGGGGGATGCAGGCCTGGAAGATCCCAGTGCAGCCCAGGGCCTAGAGGCGGGCAGGGCCTCCCCAGGTACTCACTGGCCTACCAGGCCTCCTTTAAGATGTTCCCATCGTCCCTGCCCCCCAAGTAGCGTCGGAGGGCTGTGTGCACCCCCCACCACCCTAACCTGGCCCCCAGCCAGCCGGTCTGAGTGCGGGTGGGGAGAGGATGGCGGGTCAGGGCAGGGGGCTGGCCCGCTCACCCCAGCCGATGCAGATAAACATCCACTTGCGCAGCCGGTCGGTGGAGTACGTCAGCGCGATGGCCGTGTGCAGGTAGCAGCCCTCGCCAAACATCCAGAAGAAGTTGGTCACGTGGAGGTAGTTGTAGGCAGCTGTCACCAGCCTGCACCAGCCCTGCCGCCCACCCCCCAGAGCTGATGACTAACCAGGCAGCGCGGGTGGGAGGGGGCCGCCGGGGGCCTCCGCCCGGCAGGATGGGGCACCCGCCAGGATCCACTCCCGCGCTGTGGGCTCCGAGGCCTGGCTCCGGTCCCTCCTCTGCAAAGGCGGCCCCACCCAGACCCTTCCTCTGACCCTGGGCCTGCCCCTCCAGGACACACCACATTGCTCTGGTGGACTTCCGGGCTCATGGTGAGCTGGACCACGAACCACGTGGCGTTCCGTAGGATGAAGGCCGAGATGAGGTTCCAGTGGATGATGTTCCTCAGGCACCGGATGCTCCTGTGGGCAGCAGGGGAGGGTGGGTGACAGGCGGAAGAGGAGGAGAGAGGAGACGAGGGCTAGGTCACCAGCGTCGCTCCAGCCGGGATGTAGGAATGCGGAAACCGAGGCTCCGAGCAGGGCGGGCTGGCTAAGTCACACTGGGAGGTGGCAGCAGCGGCTCTCCTGATGTCCCACAGGGCCCCCTCCTAACTGTGGCCCACCCAGACCTAAGCTCCGGGGCAGAGCCTGCCACATGTCCGATGCTGCAGGGACCAGGGGCTGCTTGGCTGCTAGGGATGCCCCTTCTCCCATGAGCACCCTTCCCTCCCTGTAGCTCCAAGTTTGAGGCTCAGAAAACATAAAAGGCCTCCAGCAATAGGCCTCCCTCCCAGCTTTCAGCCCTGATGCTCAGCCCCTGCTGGCAGCCCCCATTCCTGGCACAGACCTGGCTGGCACTGCCACCTGCATCCTTGGCAGTTGTGCTGGGCCCAGGCAGCTTCAAACCCAAAGTGGGCTCCACCTTCCTGGTCTCCCAAATGGGTGCAGCCCGGCCTGGGTGTGGGTGACACAGGTGAGCCTGGGCTTTGGCCATCCCCCTCCCCTCTGCGGTCACTGGGCAGGGTTGCAGAAGTGACCCTGCCAGAGGTTCCAAGAGACCTGGGACATCTATATCTGTCACCTGCTCCCACTGAGGTGAGGGAGCTCGACTCCCCCAGCCCACCACTGCCTCCTGTATCTTACTTCTCCCCCCTGCTCAAGGCCTGGGGGGTGTGGCGGGGGACAGTGTCAGGGTCTCCTCACCTGAGCCGCAGAAAGAGGACAAAGGCCACCAGGAGGGCTACCAGGGAGATGCAGTGGCCCAGGTAGTTGATGATGACGGCAACGTGGTAGTGTACTTTGCTTTTCTTCTGAGGCAGGAGAGAGGGGCAGAGGTGAGGCTCCTTCACAGCTGCGCCCCTGTGCCCACTGGATGTGCCAGGACAGCCCACCCCCACGGGTGCCTGGGACAACGTGGACCATGATAACAATAGTTGTCCCTTCCGGAGCCCCTGCTCTGCGTGAGGTGTTGCCCTAGAGCAGTGCCGTCCAATCTGAGTCTATGTCTGTCTGTTTGTCCCCCAATCCCATGCTCTGTGCACTGCTCCGTGCTGTGGGAAAAATGTCGGTTAGCTTGAACCTCCATATCACATAGGGTTCCCCACCCCGTGTGCACAAACACGCATGCACGGCTCACGGATGTTCTCTCATGTTCACGTTTCCGTTCAGTCCCAACACCAGGTGGCCCTTGTGGGTGCAGACCCACCGTCTAGGACTTCTCTCCTCCTCCCGTTCCTGAGTTGAGCCACCATCTTCTCCATCACCCCTAAATCCCTCCCGCTGCAGTTGAGGCCCACTCCTCTCAGCGAGGGGGGAAAGGGCAGTTGCTGTGGGTTAGCATCCACAGAATCATTAGAAACCATAAAAAACCACTCTAGGCTCTATAACTTACTTCCCGGGTCCCACCCCTGGCCCAGGGGGTCTGCTTGAAGTCAGTGGGCTCCTCCCCCTGGACTAAAACAAAGTTCCCAATGTTATTACTTAATTCATTTCATACACTGGTGGAAGCTGGGAAACGCGGCAGGCCCCTTTCCAATCAAAGTTTGCTCCATGAGTGTGGAAGCCCTCCCGTTTACATGGTATTTTCTTTCCTTTTTTTTTCTTTTTGGCCATGCTGCGCGGCTTGCAGGATCTTAGTTCCTCGACCAGGGATTGAACCCGGGCCCTTGGTAGTGATGAAAGCTCAGAGTCCTAACTACTGGACCGCCAGGGAATTCCTTACAGAGTATTTTCGTATCTGTTATCTTCTCAAACCCTCAAGGCAACACTGGGGGAAGAGCCAGTAGGGGGTCTGTACCTTATTTTGCAGAAAAACAGGCCCCAAAGTACACGGACTCGTTCAAGGTCACTCAGCTTCAAACCACCTCTCGCCTTCATGTGCAGATTGACAAGATGCTGAGGCAGAAGACGGGTCCCCACCCCATGATGGTGGACTGGGGTCTCCAGGGCCCAGCTCTCTGCAGACTCCTGACCCCGTGAGAGCAAAGGCCCCCTTCACCCTTTTGTAGGTCCCAAGAGGGCAGGGGCTAAAGAGCCAGAGTGTGGCACATGGTGGAGCGCGGGGAACTGTGTGTCGAGCGCAGGAAGGAAAAATGGTTGTTGGAAAGGCACTGGCTTTTGCGAGGGGAGGGTCCCTGGTAACCCCTCCCTCCTTCACCCTTTCCAGGTTCTGGGGTGGGGCATGGGCATGATGATGCCCGGAAACTGGCAAGTATTGAGAAAAAGACAAGCTCGCAGGAGACGTGTGCACCCTTTCAGAGCCACCAGAGCCCCTGGCTCTCCGTGGACCCTCCTGTCGGAATTGCAGAATCCACGGGCAGCAGAACTGGTCCCAAGGGATCGAGTCCAGCCCTACCCATCTTCCAGATGAGGACAGTGAGGCCTAAACTCACCCACCCAGGGACAACGGGTGCACCTCTGAAGCAGGACACCTAACAGTCATCTGAGAAGGGGTGAAGCCCTCGCTCCCCTGCTCTCCCCAGCCCCCGCTCTCCCCCTTCTGAAGGGGCATCCTCACCAAAGAAGCTCTGAGGCCCAGGCAGCTCTGTTCTAGGGGCTGGTTTTCCTGGAAGCTTTCAGGAACATGACAGGAAATCACATTAGCAGCTCAGGCTCTGAAGTGCTGAGACCCAGTGAGGTGTAAATGGCAGTGGGGAGAGAGGGCGGGAGGGGCAGAGGGTATTCGCTGCCATCATATAAACGCGGGGGGCGGCGGGGTAGCATCTCTGAGTGCCTGGCGGTAGATGCCAAGTCCAGAGACTCCAGCAGATATGCACACATCCAGCCTGTCTGGAACTGATATTTAATTTCCTCTTATTAAATTTTCCACAAATCCATGCTGCGAAGCCCCTGGGTAATGGCAGAGTCTGTGGAGCCCAGAACGGTGTGATGCCCCAGCTTCATGCACAGGCCCAGGTGGGCAAGATGAGCAGAGTGTGCAGGGAGGCCCTTCACTGCTCCCCACAGCAGGCCGAGCCGGGGTCCTTTGGTTTGGGGTGGCATGAGTCATTTATTAAGCACTGACTGTATGCCGGGCACTGCGCCGGGGGCTTTACAGACATCACTGCTTTTCTTTCTCACAACTGCCCCTGAGACTGTCCTTCTGTCCCCCTTTCTCCAGTTGAAGGGGCTGCATAATCGGCCCAGCATCGGCATCCAGGCCTGCGTGGCCTTAAAGACCCTCCTTCCTCTGTTCCTGCGGTGCATTTCTTGGGGGATAAGCAAGGACTGAAAACAGAAGCACTGTCTTCGTCCTGGGCCCGGAATTCTCAGGGAGCTTCTACGGGGAGGTGGGGGGCTCATGAGGGCTTTTCTCCACTGAGGCTGAGCGGGGAGAATTGGGCCGAACCATGCAGGGACCGCGTTTGCCTGACTCCTCGAGCTGCAGGGACCAGGCTGGCTCCCAGCCCTGCTTCTCACCTGCCACATCAGCCTGATGCAAACTGAGAAACAGCAACGCAGCTGGGGGGTTATGGTGCAGCAAGAGCCTGAGAAGACTGCTGGAGAGATGGCAGTGTCACCCCGAGAGATGACCGGCGTCACCAGGAGAGATGGCCAGTCACCCCCAAGAGGTGGTCAGTGATACCCTGAGGGGTGTTCAACGATACCTGGAGAGAATAGCCAGCAACATCCTAAGAGACACCCAGTGACACTCCAAGAGATCCTGATGACACCCTGAGAGAGTCAGCGACCTCCTGAGAGAAAGCCACCGTTAACTGCAGAAGCAGATGGGATGCCTGAAGGTCACATGGACGCAGCCAGTCCCTGAGGACCTGACCAGCACTCTGTCCTTGTCCAGTCTGGAGACCAGAGACTGGCAGGTAAGTACCCTGAAGAGGGTGGCACAGTGTGGCACTGGGCAGAAGCCACTCCTCTGCACCCTCACGACCAGAATCCAATAAGTAATTCTGACCAGACTCTGCAAGGCACACCTGGTCCCAAGTTGTGGCAGTGTCAGACCTGTCCTGATGCCTTTTCAGGATGGCATGATGGCTCCCCGCCTGGTCCCCACTGCCCCAGCCTCTCTCCCACCCCCATCCACCCCGTTTTGAGGCTCTCCCTGTCCACCTGGGTTTCCTGAGCTACTCCCTCACCCCACCCTGGGCACTCCAGCCCCTTGCTTCCGCAAAGTGTGGTCCCCAGACCAGCAGCGTCAGCATCACCTAGGAGCTTGCAGGAATCTTAAGAAATGCAGAACCTCAAGCCCCGCCCCAGATCCACTGAGTCAGAATCTTCATTTTAGCAAGAAGTCCAGATGATTCCTAAGCATTCCAGAAGCCCTGGTCGAACCAATGCCCTCTGCGAGCAGTGAACGCCGGCCCACGAGCCCACACCCCCAGAGCCCCTTTTACGTCCCATCAAAGTGTGTGCCCTCCCAGGATGTGCCGGAGGCCAGGGCTCCCCCAGCTCAGCAGAGTGTAGGGGAGGGAAGCAGAGTGTGTGCAAGTGTCAAGGGAGCGGTAGGGGGACGGGAGAGCTGTCTGGGGCAGTTTGGGGTGTCTCTGCAGTGGAGGGAGACAAGTGTGTGTGGGGGGAGGGTGCAGGCTGGTGCCGGGGGTGGGGTCACTGCAGGGGCTGGGCCATGCATGAAGCAAGCTCCCCGGCTGGGGGCCTGTCCCCTGCTGGTGATGGCTGTGGGCAGGTCTCCTCCCTGGCCTGGCCTCTGGGTGCCCTCACAAGTCTCATTTCACAGGCAGTGGTTCTGCGAATCCATTATCTGCAGCTCCGGGGGCGCTGATGCTTAATTAGGGCTGAGTCGGGGCCAGAGCTGAGAGATCGGCTGCTCGGTTAATTGGCGACATTCCTCTTCTTTCACAGTAGCTCCAGGAGGGGACGGGGAGTCTTGGGAATGGGGAGGGTTCCGGCAAGGCTGGGGGCTGGCAGAAGGGGATGGCATTTTCACTAATTAAATTAACTGATTACCCAGAGTGCTAGGCAAAGTGGCCAGCGGGGGCTGCCGGGGAAAGGGTGGGCGGGGCAGCCCGGGTAGGGGTGAGCCCTGCCAGCAGACGAACGGGGGTGCCCCTGACCTCATCGGGGGTGCCCGATGGTTGGTGACCCCCCCCAACCATCCCCCCTCCCTGGTGAACACAACAGCCTCCCCTGAGCTCAGGTGACGAGGCCGAGGGGTGGCGGATAGATGGAGCGCCCTCTACAGGCCAAGACGCAGGCGGACACCGCCCTCCCTCCCCCAGGAGGCAGACTGAACTGCTCTCCGGCCTTTTACAGACAAGGAAGCTGAGACTTAGTGAGGCTGAGCTACCTGCCCAGGGTCACACAGCACATGTGCTGGAACCAGAATCCAAACCCCTCCAAAGCCGGTGCTGTTCCTGTTACACTGCCTAAGAGGGGCCTGATGAGAAGCTGGTGCCCCCTAATCCGCCTTCTCCCCGCAACGCGCTGGTGGAGAGAGGGAGACCCCAGTCCAGGCAGCAGGGGTGGGAGCTGCAGAGTGGAGAAGGGCCTCTGCCCCTGATTCTTTGAAGGGGGTTGGGGGCAAGGGGGGCTGCTGAGTGTCCCCCATCAGCCAACTAGAAGGAAGGGGCTTAAATTAGAGCAGGAGAGTTTTGGGGGCCCGTGAATGTCCTCTGACATTCAGGAGGCTCCAATGCAGGGAGGGAGATTGAAGGCAGCTGTGAGGTCTCCAGCTTGGCGATGTCCAAGAAGGGAACAGACGCCCGCTTCTCTGGGGTGGGGGAGGGGTGTCTGTCCTAAGGCAGGAGGCTGGAGATCTGACCTCCACTTGGAGACACACGGTCAGCCTCAGGCCCTGCAGACCCAGCAGGACGATCAAAGCGCAGGGTGGGGTGCGACGGAGGGGCTGCAGGCTTCTTGCCTTAGCTGTGCTCCCCGACACCGTCCCTCTCTGGGCGTGAACTACGGTCCTAAGAGCCGCAGACAACACTGACCTGCCTTTCCCATCCTCCTGCTTCCTCCGCTGTGTGCTAGGTAAGGAGTTGCCCACCCGAGCCCCACCCGAGCCCATCTCTTCTGGTTTGACTACGTTTCCCAACATGGGAACCTTACTTTCCTCCCCCAGTCCAGGTGGATGCCTTCCTCCCCAGCCCTGGACTTCTGGGGTTGGCTCACCATGTGGATGCTTAGCAACCTGGGGGCTATCTTTGCTCAGGTCAGGTCACTGGGGAGCTGGGCCAACCCACCCGGCCTGGGGTGGACCATATGGCCTGGCCTGTGTGACATTAGATGCCAGGAAGCCTCTTGCCCTGCATCCCAAGTAACTCTTTGGTCTGCCAAAGCAGAACTACTAAAGAGCGTGTCATTCTTTTGGGGCTAAGCACTGCCCTACCTTTGCAGCTTCTACAAGGAGACAGCAGAGCCCCAGTATCTCAGTGATGTGAGGCCAGGCAGCCTGGGGGAGCAGCTAACCAAGGCATGCGTTGGGTGGGGTGGGGTGGGGGAGTGGGCGGAGTGCTAGGTGGGGGAAGCTGTTCTCCCACCATCAACCTCACTGCACACCAAGTACCTGGTTCTGGGCAAAGGGAGCCACCTCCAAAGCCCCGGGGTCCAGGCTCTGACTCACGCTGGCTGTGTTACCTTGTGTGAGTCACTCCCCCTTTCTGGGCCTCAGTCTCCCTCGCTGTAAGTTGACCGGGTTACCCTAGATCAGAGTCTCTCACTTTTTCCCCATCACCCCCCCGACACTCCCCCCTGCACTTGTTAAAAATACAAATTCCCAGGTTGTCCTTGGAGAGTTTGATTTATCGGATGTTGGGGGTGGCCCTGTATTTGAACAAGTGCTCGGGATGATTCTTATCACCAGGCAGATCAAGATGGGATGGAGGATCTCCAAGGTCCCTTCCAGTTTAGATCTTTGAGGCACTGGAATTCTTGGAACTGCCTAGACCAGCCCCTTTTTCCCACGCCCCAGCAGCCTGGGGCCCTTGGACAACTGGGTGCATCTCCCATCTGCCCTTTCCTTTCTGCTCATTCCTTCTTCCCTCTCCATGACCCCCACCTTCCTCAGCACCCACCAAAGGGGTGGGTGGAGATGTAGGGGATGAGACAAGGGGGACGGAGGTAGCAGCAACACACGACGACAGATATGCCCGCGCGTCTGCCAAACATCACCCTTAAAAGATTATTCATTGCGGCACTGTTTGTCATAAGCAAAGATGAGAATAAAGATTGGTTAACTAAGCTATGGAACATCTGTACAATGTGATATTATGGATTTGTAAAAAAAAAGAATGAAGATGCTCTTTATGTACTGATACGGAACAATCGCCAAGATGGATGATTATATGAAAAAAGCAAGGTGTCGAACGAAGTGTATAATATGCAACGTTTGGGTGAAAAGCAAAGAATATATATACATAATTGCTTGCCTATGCAGACTGTCTCTGGAAGAACTCTTAAGAAACTGTCAAAATGGTTACCTCTGATAGGGGGAGCCCAGCGGCTGGGACAGGGCTGGGCGGGAGATTATTTTGTTTTCCCATTTGTACCTGTTGAATTTTGTATTGCGTCTAAGCAACGTCTTTCTTAAAAACATTTAAATATTTGAAAGGCTCTTCAAGGGCTTTTTCCAACTCCATGGCTCCTCCCACCCACATCCCGGATTCGAACGCAGGACCCTGGCTGGACCTGGATGTGTCACTCCAGTGGGTGGGGTGGAAACGGATGAGAATGGGTCCCAGTGAGCTAGGAAGGAGGGAGGGAGGGAGGGAGGGAGACTCAACTCGCCGCTGTCAGAGCCTGCCCGCTGCCCTCTGGCCTCACCCTCCCTTGAGGATGCCCACTCACGGGCTGGCCTAGTTCTGGCTCCCCAGTTGGCTTCTCTCTGCAGGGCAGAGACACCAGCCTCTGGCTCTCCCATCCGACTGGCTGGTAGCAGGCGCAGAGCCGCGCTGGGGGCCCAGGCCCAGCCCTCAACAGGGTAGCTTGCTCGGAGCCTCACCTCCTCGCTAAGGATCTCCTGGCATTCTGAGTAGTTCACGCGGGCGGCCCAGGTGCCATTGGCCAGGCACTCGCGGTAGCCGTTGTCTGGAAAAAGAAGAGAGTCGAAGTGACCCGTGGCTCCTCTCCCAAAGAGTAACTGAGCATCTGTCCGTCCATTCGACTGTCCATCTAACCGTCCATCTGGGCCAGCTCAGGAGCCGGCTTGCTGGGGGGCTCTGGGGTGAAGCTGGGGGGAGGGGCTTTCTTACTACCTCCACCTTCCTGCCTCTTTCTGCCCACTGGCCCCCAACAGAGGTACAGTGGTGACCCCAATGTGTGCCCACGGGACTGGCCCACGGGCAGAGGCCTGACCAGCTCACTGGGCCGTTTCCTGCTTCCTTGCAAGCCCTTATGTGGAGCAGATTACACGGTGGGCACCCTTCTGAGAAATCTCCCATTTGGGGGTCTCACATGGTAGCAGAAAAGAATGGTGAGTTCTGATGAGTCAGTTCTCACGAGGCCGGGCAAGATGTGGAAGGGAGTGTGGTGACAGCTTACATGGCACAATGCAATGACAGGTTTCACATGGTGGGACTCTCCGTGGCGGTCTCACATGGCAGTGTCTCACGGGGGTGGGGATCACAGGGCAGCTGTTAGGGAAGGTCCCCAGGGTGGCATTTCCCTACGGCAGGCCTTATGTTGGAGGGTTACGTAGTGGGAGCATCCATGGTGGAGGTCTCTCAGGACAGAAAATGACAGGTGGCAGGAGATGGGAGATGTGCTGGGGGATGTCATGGGAGTGGGTCTCGTGTAGCAACTATTTCATTATTAGGATCCGCTCCAACTGGCTCCCAGCCTGGCACATGGCACTTGGGGAAAAAAGGCAGGAATGTGGCCCGGGAAGGGGTGGGGGCGGTCCAAGCAGTCAGCAGCCTGGAAGCCAGAACGTGTCACCTTCTAAGGAGATTGGGAGTTGCCTGTGGTCTGAACTGAGGCCTGGCTTCAGGGCTCTGGGACACCCTCCTTCCTGCCCGCCCCCCGGGGACAGCAGGGCCCTGAAACCCAGTAGGGTGGGGTCCAAGGGAGATTCAAATCTGGAGTCTTTTCCTCTTTGCTGGCGGAGGTCACCCTGCTCCACCCTGTACCCCTCTCAGGCATCGGTAGCTCTAAATATGTTTCCCTGAGTAAATTCTGGTCCTGACACCAGGAAGCACTGGCTGGAAGAGCCTTGAGCCATTTCCACCGGAGCCCCTCGCCTGCTGCAGCCTTTCCATGGCTCACACTGACCTTCACCTCACATCCCCCACCCCAGCAGGGCCGAAGGAGGTTGCGGAAGCTGCTTGAGTCCCAGTCCCTGCAGTGGCAGAGCTCCACGACAGAGGCAGAACGGAGGCCCCCACTGCGTGAGTGCCATCGGCCAGCTGGCCTCTCAGGACCCTCTCCTAACGTGTAAGCGGAAGGGCTGGACCAGCTGATCCCCAAGAGGCCGTCCAGCCTGGGACCTGCCTCTCTGCTGGCAGCACCACACAGGAGGGAGAGGCTGGGGTGGGAGGTGGGTTTGCGGCTGCCTCCCCAGGAGAGGGAGCCCTGGCCTGGCCTCCTAACGCTGCCCCTCGGCCCTTCTGCTGAGAGGCTGTTCTCGCGCAGCACACCAGTGGGGAAATGAGGCTAAATGGATTTTTAAAGCTCTGCTCAGCTTCCCTGCCAGTGGACCTGAGTCTCGGCAGAGTTGAGCCCTTGGGCAGAGTTGAAGGTGCTGCCGATTCCCTCCTAACTGCTAAATGAGGGATAAGCTACCAGAGGGCTGAGGGCTCAGTGCCTGGGGTTTCGGGGACGCCTGGGGGGAGGCACGGAAGCAGGGGAAACCAGTGTGTCTGCCATGGACGGAAGGTGCCTGGGACCAGAGGCTGCTCCAAAGTGTCTTCAAAGAAAGGGACTTGGGGTCAGAGATCTGGTGCGAAGGGGCACGAGGGCAGGGGCGGGAGCTGCTGCCTTAAGAGAGGCACTACACTGTAGTGTTACGAGCTCTCCACCCAGACAGCCTGGGTTCGAATCCTGACACCAGCTGCCACTAGCTTTGTGTGTGAACCTAGATGAGTCCCACGACTTCTCAGCTTCCTTATCTGCAAGATAGGAATGATCTTAACAAGGGTTCCTACCTCAGTGGTTGAGGGGCATTTTTAGCTGACATGTACAGGGTGCTTGGAGCTCTACCTGGCATGTGGTGTGAGCTGTTATTCTTACCATTATCGTCTTGGAGCTATATTTCTATAACCTTACCTAAGATTCAGAACATGTCACTTGTCGCTATCATAGGGGGTACTGGCAGGGATTCCGGGAGACATCCCCTGGGCTCAAGCTCCCCTTTGAATCCCATAGGTGGGGCAGGAGCCTGGAGTCCTTCCCAGGCCGGGCCATCTAGAGGGAGCAGGCTTACAGGAGGCGATCCTGCAAGAAAACAGGCCCAACAAGCGGCGAGTCGTTGCCAGGGAGGAGGCGACTTCCTTGTCTTTAATTGCTGAGCTGAGCAGTCCTCCTGGAGAGTCATGGGAAAATGGATATTTTGGGAAATGCTTCCCATTCCTTTGAAGATCAGATGCAGTGGGAGGGAGGCCATTAAGGGGAAGGCCTAGAGGCCCTGGCAGCACCTCCTCGGTACATGAGTTAAAGAGCGCCTAGCGATTAGGTACAATTCTGGGTTCCCAGTCGCTACTGATTACGCGGGTGTTCCTCATCATTCTGGCACTGGGGGCACCTGGAAAGGGCAGTCTTCCAGCCCTGCCCCCACGTCAAGCGACCATCACCTCTTGCATCTCCTCTCCTGGGATCACAGGGGGGAGCGCAAGGGAGCCGAGAGAGCACCTCACCCAAACCTCCCACCACCCATCCTGCAGGTGGAGAAACTGAGGCCCGGGGAGAGCCAGTGCAGAGGGTTCCTTAACCAGCGTACAGGTGGAGCTGGGACTAGAACCCAAGACTCCTGGCTTCCACTTATGGCAGGGCTGCCCAATTGAGTTATATGTGCCCAGGCACTAAAGGTTTATTCGGGGCACGTCAAGTCACCTTCGGGGGGTAGTTCATGGGGAGTGGCCAGGACCGGCTGCAAAGGTAGGCAGGACTGTAGCTAGCGGGTGGACTTGACCATGGGGGCAACGGGGACCCACAGAAGGGCTGACTCCAAGCAAGGGTGTGACAGGGTTGGAGATTGGGGTACCCTGGACCATGCCAGTGGCATTGGGGATGGAGGGCAGGGAGGGTCAGACATGAGACTCACTTTGGAGGTGGAATTGACAGGACCTGGTGCTCTGGTGAGGGGACTTGGGGGTTTCCTCCTGGAAGCAGCCCTCCCGTGCCCCAGCAAGCACCAGCCCAAACGCTGCCTTTCTCCAGGAAGCTCCAGGGCAGGGCACCCAGCCGGGTGAGGGGAGCAGCAGGAGGGCTCTGGCTCCCCAGTTCCGGCGCTGCCTCCAAGCCTGTGACCTTGGGCATTTTTAGCCTCTTTGCCTGCATTTCCAACTACAATGGGCCCAAGTTAGAGGCTGGCAGGATACACAAACTCTCCTTTAGGTTCTTCTGCCCTTCCTCCTACTTGCATTCTCCCCACACCCCCTCCAGTCTTTCTTCTCTTCCTGGGGTCCAGGGTGCGGTTGCAGACACACAAAGCTGCATGGTCCTGCTGTTCCAGCCTCCCGCCCAGTCCCAACACCTCCCCAGGGCCCTCCCACCCCTCCTTGGCTGTGGCCCCCAACCCGAACCCCATTAATCCAGCTGGTAAAAAAAAGAGAGGGGCAGGAGAAGGAACCTGGGAGTTCTGAGCTGGACAGAGTCTTAAGAAGCCATGTCATCGAGGCTTCTCCATCTTCAGATGAGGGGCCAGAGGGCCATAAGAGAGGAAAATTGTGTTAAAGGTCACAACTGGTGTCTGTGGCCACCCTCTGTCACCTCTTGGGGGGGCTCTGAGCTCAGGCCCACCAGACCCCAAGGGCCCACCCAAGGAACCCCCCACCCTCCCCTCAGACAGCTCAGGGCCCCTGGCCTGCAGCTGTTGCTCTCTTCATAAGCAGGGGCTGTGAGCCATTGACAGGGGAGAGCAAATTAATTCTGACGGTGACAGGTGGCATAGCAAGAAGCTGCAAAGCCTGGAGGTGGAGGCTCAGGGCCCTAGGGGAGCAGGGTGTTTACATGGGGATCAAGTATCTGAACAAACCCTGCCCGGGTCAGTCGTCTCCCACCCCCACCCCACCTGTGGGCCTACACTCAAGGACAAGCCCCCTGCCTATGGATCTAAAACCCTGAGTCCCCCCATCTCGTGGCTGGAGGGCCCTGGATAGGCCTGGTATCCTCTCTGAGCAAAGTTAGGGCTTTCTGATGATTTCTGCCCTACCTCATGGCTCATGCCAACGTTACCCCAGTTTGTCAACTGCAGAAGAAAGTGTCAGACAGACCCGGATGCAAATTCCAGCTTCACCTCTTACCAGCTGCTGACCTTGGGCAACTTCCCTAACCTCTCTTGAGCCTCTGGAGGCCTCAGTTATATAACATAGTCACATGTAGCATCTTCCAGGGTATCGTGAGCATCAGTAGTAATGAGTAGAATACCCAGCAGAGCACAGAGCTGGCCATTGGTCAATGGCAGTTGTACCCATGAATGGCATTATTATTATTGTCATTGTCATTATTATTTTCCCCACCTCCAACAAGTCCCAAGCTCTCCCCATCCTGTCCCACCTCCCAGGAGATGGTCTGCCCTCCACGGGCTCCCTTACTTGTGGTGTTGTAGCGGACACCGTAGAAATAGGCAGGGCAGGGTCGAACCACCAGCTGCCCTGCAGGGCTCTGGGGCCAGCAGGTGCCAATGAGGTCCACGGATGCATTGCACTGCAGTCCTGGGGGCAGAGATGGCTGGTGAGGCAGAGCAACATCCCCCCTGCAGGGTCCCCCCCCCCCCCCCACTGGGCCACATTCACAAGCCATCTGGAGACAGGACAGGAGCAATGACCCCAGTGCAGAGATGAGCTTCTTTTCTGCAGAGGAGACACCAGGGAAAGGAATCTGAATTTGATGCTATGGCACTAGGGAGACAATGTGGGTTCCAGAGCAGAGGAGAAACAGAGATGGCTGGAGGTGGTGTTAAAAGTTGAGATCCTGGCTGGCATTTAGAGGAAGGCTGGACGTGCTCCAGGTCTCCTGATATGTAGCCTGAGGACACTTCTCTTGGCCCTTTACTTGGACCGCAGCTCTTAGAATTCACAGCCTGGGACTTTCCTGGTGGCGCAGTGGTTAAGAATTCGCCTGCCAATGCAGGCGACATGAGTTCAATCCCTGGTGTTCAATCCGGGAAGATCCCACATGCTGTGAAGCAACTAAGCCCATGCGCCACAACGACTGAGCCTGCGCTCTAGAGCCCACGAGCCACAACTACTGAGCCTGCATGCCACCACTACTGAAGCCCGCGTGCTCTAGGGCCTGAGTGCCGCAACTGCTGAAGCCTGCACGCCTAGAGCCCGTGCTCCGCAGCAAGAGAAGCCACCGCAATGAGAAGCCCATGCACTGAAACAGAGAGTAGCCCACGCACTGAAACAAAGAGTAGCCCCCGCTCGCTGCAACTAGAGAAAGCCTGCGTGCAGCAACGAAGACCCAACGCAGCCAAAATAATAATAAATAAATAAATAAATAAGAAAAAGAAAAACCCCACATTTAATATTAAAAAAAAAAAAAAAAAAAAAGAATTTACAGCCTGGAATGGCTCGGAAGAGACCCAGCCAACCCCTCACCCAGTTCCCTCACATGTCTCTAGAACCAAACCACATCTGCTCTGGACCTGCAGAGAGGAACCAGCTAAAGGAAGTTGGCCCACCTTCCAGCTCTCCTGATAACCACTTTTACCGAACATTCGTGCTCTGGTGTGTGCCGGGATCTAAGAGAGGACTGACTGAGAAGAGGACCATGGAGAAAAAAGGGAGGGAGACACCACGTGGGGGAGTGGAAAGGAATCAGTAATCTGGAACCCTGGCTTCAGACTGGGCTCTGCTACTAATTTGCTGTGTGACTGTAGGCAAGTCTCTTGCCTTCTCTGAGCCTTAGTGTTTTATCGATAATGAAGTAGTTGGATCTGATCAGAAATTCTTAATCTCAGTCCACTGGAAGCCTTAAGGGCTCATAGACTTTGAAGTTAAATGAAAAATTTGTTCTATACATGCAGTTGGGAAAGGCACCATGGCTTTCATTAGATTCTCAAAGGGGTCTGTGACTCAGAAAAGGATGTAAACAACTGGACTAGAGAGAGGATGTCAAAATCCCCTTCCAAATGTTTGCCCTTAATTAAGAGCTTTTTGGAGCGGAGCATGCGTGTGCATGTGTGTGTGTGTGTGTGTGTGTGTGTGTGTGTTGGAGCAGAGCTGAAGCCACAGTAACACTTCTGGGAAGGTGGGGGGCTTTTGGTCTCCAATGGGTGGGGGCTGGGCTGAGGACAGTCCTGGCATCCCTCCTGATGCTGCCCCTTCTTTCTCTGCCTTTCCATGCCCCTCTCCTCGCAAGGCTGGCACACCAGTCCTGTGGAGACCCAGTGTGTCCATCACGATGGGAGAGGTTAATAACCTGAGACTGGCCATAGAGTGTACAGACAAGCCAGGGAGAGCCACGAGCCAATGAAGGGGTGGCATCTTCAGTTCAGGGCATCAGCAGCTGCCAAGCCCTGGCTGGGGCCCACCTGCCATCTCCCCCCACTCCCAGCTTAGCCGGTGCCCAGTCTCTCAGGAAACAGCATTGGGTTAGATTGGCATCCCTTACTTGCTGGGTGCAGGGCAGTGCTGAGCAACGCTTGTACCAAATTCTGGTTTTTCTTTCTAATCAAAGCTATTCATAGGATGTGTGTGCAAATCTGGGCTCAAGGGGCAAAGGCTTCGAGGCTAAGTGGTTTAATTGAAAGAGAAAGAAATCTGGATTGGGGCTTAATGGACAAGAGGAGACGGCCAGCTAGGCAGCAGGGGTGGGCCAAGCCCTGGTGCTGTGCCACAGTGGAGCCTCCACGAATGACATCACAGAGAGGTCATGGGGGTAGGGGAGTGAGGAAATCAGGTTGAGATTTTAATCTGCCATGGGTCACGCCAGTCGTGCTGCGCCTGGAGGAGGGGGGAAGCGGAGGCATGTGGCCGTCAGGAGGGAGGGATGGTATGACGGGCCGTGCTCTGCTTCTCCAAAGGCCTTCTTCATGTATTTTGTTTGCTCTTCATTCACCCTGCAATGCCATTATTCCCCTTTTTTTTTTTTTTTTAATTTACAGATTCATTATTCCCTATTTACAGATGAGGAAACTGAGGCCCAGGGAAGTAAGTGACTTGCCCAGGGTCGTGAGTCAATGAGTGAAAGAACTAGGACTCATAACCAGGTGTTTGGGACTCTGAATCGAGTGTTCTTTCTATTACAGCGCATCGCTGGCCAGTAAAGGGTGAAGAACAGTCAGAGGCAGCAGGGAAAGGGGGCAGTATTTATTGAGGGCTGACTGTGTGCCAGGCACCTGCCGGGTGCTTTACATATACCATCTGACTTCATAACCTTCCTCAGTAGGTTGTTCATTCACTCACTCATTCACATTATCTCCTGAGCTAGGCACGGGGAGCATTAAATGGAATGTCACAAGTGGTACCTGGAACTTGCCTAAGGCCCACTCTCAGTGTAGCATCTGCCCTCCCTCACTGCCCTCTCTCCCCTGCCCTGGAAAGTTCCCCAGAGTCCCTTCTGAAAAGAACTGAGGGCAGGGCAGGACTGGGCACCAACCACAGCCAAGACCAGGCCAGAGCCAAGGCAGGGACCGGCTGCTGAGCCAATGGCCCTCCTGGTCTCAAGGACCAGGTACCAGCCAATGCCCAGAGGCCTGACCCCACCCACGGCTGGTCGGGGATATGCAGGTGGGAATGGGCAGTGTAGAGCTTTCTGCCTCTAGTCCGTGCTACAGATTAGGATTCCATACCACCTACTATGGGTCTCACACCATCTGCCAATGTGGGTGCTAATTCTCCCTGTTTTACAGACAGGAAAACTGGGGCCGAGCAAATTGCTTATCCTTAGTCGCATAGGCACTAAGAGGCAGAAGTGGGTTTCGACGCCTGCCCAGGGCTCTTCCCACTGCACCACAGCGGTCCCCAGTCTGGGCAACTGGCCTTCTCAGCATTTGGGTGCACTGGTCTCTGTGCCCTGGGTTCCTCCGGTAGTGCCTCCCTCACTCCCTTCCTCCCGTCCCTCGATGCCCACAGAAGGCTGCGTGGAGGTGGTGCGGGGGAACACTGCATCGGACATGACCTTTACATGAAGAGCCCAGAAAATCCTGGAGGGAATGAAAGTCTTGGTGCGAGACGGGAAGAAAGGGAGAGAGAGGCTTCAAGAATGGAGAAGAGAAACAAAATGCAAGCGGCCAGGGGACAACGCTGCCCCTTCCTCCGAAAGAAAAGGCCCGCTCGCGCTGGCCTGGGCTCCAGAGACTGGGTGGGCGGGGTCCGAGGGAGGGAAGAGCCAAGCAGGGGTGCGGCCAGAGGCACAGGGAAGATCAGGAGCTGCGACCGGGCTACGACGCGCAAATACAGGCTAGAAAGTTCTAAGCGGAATTGGCCTCTTGGTTTTAGGGAGTAGACGGACAAGAGAGGGGTAGGGAGGGAAAAGAGGAGGAAAGGAAGGGTGTACAGGGTTTGGGGGGCCGGGGGAAACAGCCTTTGTTGAACACTACTCTGTACCAGGCAATGTGAAGGGCACTTGATGAAATTCATGCCACCCATTCAATTCACTCCATCACTCTTTGAGAAGAAAAGCAGGGAGGGGACAAGGGGAGGAGAGAGGGCGAGAGAGAGGAAACAAGACAAAAGACACTGAGAATGAAACAGGGAGAAGCAGACAGAAAGCCAGGAGAACAAGGTACAGAGAAAAATCATTTCAGAGGTGCTGTGGGTGGGGAGGGACTGGATTTCCTAGCTGGGAAGGGGAGAAGGAAGGAAAGGAAGTCCTGGTGTCACTCAGCACGGGGGCTATAAGGACCTAGAGGTCAGGGCTGTTGGACTGTGATCCTCCAGGTCCCACTGATACAAATGTGCAGTCTCTCCTGCCCTCCTGGGGGATATGTTCTCTCTTGGGTAGCATAGTTCTGGGCTGAGGAGCAGTTAGGACCAGAGTAAACCAGCCTTGCAAATAGCCAGGTAGGCTCACCAGCCAGCAGCATGAAGCCTGAGTTACTATTAGGACCCAGCTCCTCCCCATGCAGACCCGTCACCAGGATCCCCTCCTGGTCAGTGAATTAATAGGTGGGGAGAAATAAAGACTTTGCTCTTTATTCAACAAGTTTTACTGACCACCTAAAAAATGTTTTAGGAGCTGAGGATACAGTAATGAATAAAATAAATGCCCTGCTCTCAGAAATAGAGACACAGATGTAGAGATCAAACGTACGGACACCAAGGGGGGAAGCGGGGGGGTGGTGGTGGGATGAACTGGGAGATTGGGATTGACATATATATACTAATATGTCTAAAATAGATAACTAATAGGAACCTGCTGTATAAAAAAAAAATGCCCTGCTGTCAGTCTACGGGGTTGGGGGTTGGGGTTGTGTGTGCAGACAGACAGACGTACCTGTTAACCAGTGAGAGATGCTATGGAGAAAAAACAAGCAGGGTAAGGAGATAAAAACTGACAGGAGTGCTATTTTAATTTGGTCCTAATATTCAGGCAGAGACCCAATGGAAGTGAGAGAGGTAACTGTGTGCCTACCTGGGGGAAGAGGGTTCTAGAGGGAACAGCAGCTACAAAGGCCCTCAGGCAGGTGTGTGCTCAGTGTGTCTGAGGTATTAACATTCCTGTCACTTGGTGGCTCACCCCCTCACTCATGGGGCAGCTAGATCCCTACCGAGTTTCATCTGGGGCTGGGGTGGGTGGAGCTCAAAGTAACCCATAAAACTGGTCCTGTATCTTCCTCCTTCCCCACACATGCACAAAGCAGGTGCATGGGGGCCGACACTCCAGGTGTTCATGGGAGCACTGTGGTCAGCCCGCCCCAGATCCCTGCGAATGGAGGGAAGAGGAGAGAGGAACAGTATGAAGGGCTCCCACCTGCCTCTGAAAAACACCTGCTGAGTCAGAGTCCTGGGGGGAACTGCTTTAATGAACAGAAAAGAACCCTTTGAGGGTGGCCACCACCCTTTGAAGGTGGTTTCTTCCCCCAAATAGATTATATAGTTCCCTTCCCATCAGGCTCAGGGTCCAAATGTACTCAGCAGATCTTTCCATAGCAGATAACTTCCAAGAAAGGTTGGAACCTGGTTCCTGTCCCCAGTTATGTCGGGTCTCCCATCAGGGGCTTCTGAATGAACTAGGGTGGGTGGGCACGTGGCAGCAGATCTGCAGCTGGGAAGCCCAACCCCCTATTTGGTTTAAGCCCAGGAGGGAGACCCAGCCAAGGCTGCGCCAAGTGGCCCAAGGGCAGTCTCTGAAACACACATGCTTGCTCATTCCAGGAAGGTGCTGCTGGGATGAATGGGCAGGGGCTCTGCCTGTGTCACCTGGCATAGAGAGGCCAGGCAGACAGTCCTGCTCTTTGCTCAGCCACTTTGTCATTGGACTGTCTTCTCCTTGGCTGGGAAGAATAGAAAGATGCCTTTGTAGGGTGTGTGATTCATCAGGACATGTGTGTGTGATTCACCAGGACAAGTGGGTGGGAGCCCCTGGTCCTGTGGGTCTATGGGCTCTTCAGTTCTGCACCTAGTACGGTGTCAGGCACATAGTAGGTTCTGAGGAATACTGGGAGCTGTGTGTAAACCCAGTATAGGTATGGGAAACTGCAGGGGCGTCTCTGCACCCCTGGAGGACTGACCATAGTGGGCCCTGGGTACTGCGACTTTCCAGGTGACCACATACATGGTGGAGGGAAAGTCCAGAATCAGGCCATTTGATTCAAATCTTGGGGCTACTGCTTAGTAACCATGTGTACTTGAGCAAATTACGTAACGTCTCTGAGCTGTACGTTTCTCTTCTGTAAGATGATGATAAAAATAATTCCTGGGCTTCCCTGGTGGTGCAGTGGTTGAGAGTCTGCCTGCCGATGCAGGGGACACGGGTTCGTGCCCCGGTCCGGGAAGATCCCACATGCCGCGAAGCAGCTTGGCCCGTGGGCCATGGCCACTGAGTCTGCGCGTCCGGAGCCTGTGCTCCGCAACGGGAGAGGCCACAACAGTGAGAGGCCCGCGTACCGCCAAAAAAAAAAAAAAAAATTCCTAACAGTATTGTTTGATGACTGAATGAGATTAAAGCACTTAGAATGGTGTCTAACATACAATAGGCACTAAGTAAACATTAGTTGTTATTATTAGTTATTACATTAATTATTATCATTCATGACCTTAAGACAGGAGATGACCCTGGGTCCTTGTCAGTGCTATGATTCCATTTATCTCTGATGTCATGGGTCAATAATTCTATTACTTTCTGCCACTGTCATATTCATGCCATGATTTTATGAGTTGTCAAGTCTGTGATCTGCCACATGATGGAGCCTCAGCCCTGGGGACCCACCTTCTCCCTGCTCCTGGCATGTGAGAGGCCCCCCAAAGGCCCCAGCTCAGTGCCAGCCACCCCGGCCAGACGCCCATCCATCTGTCTCAGTCCCTCCACCCCACCCTCACCATCTGTCTCTACCAGTGCCCATCAGTCTGGGTAGGTCTTAGCGTTGGAAGACAAATAGCCCATTTTCAGAGGCTGCTGTGGAGGGTGATGGATTGTGTGCCCTGAAGCCAGGCAGGCTGGGCTGGGCTGGGGGTAGGGGCACAGAGTACAAATCATCGGGAAATGAACGACATTCATCACGGCCTGCTGCCTCCAAGGACAGGTGACACCTTCGTGGGCTCAGGGATGTCACTGCGCAGGAGCACAATAAGCAAGTCAGTGGAGACTGACCTGGCCGCCATGCAAGGGGCTGGGATCGGGGGCAGCTTCTTCTCAGGCCAGGCCTCTGAGCAGGTCTCTTCCCTCCCAGTCTTTCTCCAGACTCTTGCTCAAGAACTTTCCGTTCCTCATGGCCCAGCTTAGCCAACTTTGCAGCCAGATGCTCTGGGCTCCCAGGACCTCCCCAGGCTTACTGCTCTCCCCTCCCGACCCCTCCCCTGTTCTTCCACCAAACCCACCTGCTAGTCCTCAGTCAACTCTAGCTTCAGCTCAGAGCGTTGGCTCTTCTCTGCCAGTCCCTGCTCAGAGTCTCTCAGAGACTCACCTTGAAACCTCTTCCTTCAGGAAGGCTTCCTGGATTCACACCACCCCAATCTAACCTCCCTGCCACCTCCATTGTAATGAGCAATTCATGGCAAGTGCCTGCCCCTCATTCCAGCTACACAGTAAGCACTTTAAAAGCCTACTCTTACCAACAATAATAAATAATACTCAGTAGTGGTATGGCACTCTACAGTTTGTGAAATATTGCCATTAAACGTAGTGCATTGAATCATAACAGATCCTTGAGGCAGGTGTCAGCCCTCCCACCCTACTCTGTAACTGCAAAGTGAGGCTCAAGGGAGTCAAAGGTATGCTCATCCCTGTGGCTATCAGTGGGCGGCCCTAGGGCACACAGGACAAGACTGAGCGCCACTATGAGCGTGGGAACCCAGTCGGTGCTCCAGGTCTGGTGCTCATTCTCTCGCCCCCCAACCCCCACCCTACTGAGGGAACAGCAGGCCAGGGGGCAGCTGCCTGGAGCTGTGGAAGCCTCCTCTCCCCGCAGGCCCAGGTTCAGAAACTCCCTGCTTCCCTGCTAGCACATGGTGGCCATTTCTCCAGCAGCGCGGGCCTTGAGCCTCATAACACGTGTGTTTATGCACTTGACTCCCGTACCAGACTGTGAGCTCCTCTTTGCTCTCCCAGGGAACATGGGGCCTGGCACACAGTAGGTGCTCAGTTAATGAGTTGGATTGAATCAAGGAGAGAGACCTGCAGAGGAAAATGAATCACCAAAGAACAAGCCTCCCAAAGACCCTCAGGTGCACCTTTCCACCTTCACTGAGCAGCAGCATCCCCAGGACCCTGGTTAAAGGGACCAGGATGAGGGTTCAAGGACCACACCCCAAATTAGAAAAGGCATGGCCTTAGGAGCCCAAAAACCGAATTCTCCCATGCCTCAGTTTCCTCATCTGTACAAATATCTCATCTTAAACTCTTGTGAGGATGAAATAAGATTATTATACAAAAGCACTTTGTAGGGCTTCCCTGGTGGCGCAGTGATTGAGAGTCCGCCTGCCGATGCAGGGGACGTGGGTTCGTGCCCTGGTCCG